TTTTATCCACGTGGATGCCACGTGGAAAAGTGACTGGACGCATTGCTCTCTGTTTGTTGAAATTCAACTACATGCTTCATTTTGCAAAAAATATAATGGTCAGGTACAATTCTGCAAAGAACCAAGAGTCATAACAGAATTACAAAAGTTAAAAAATGTCACGATGTGACATGCAATTTTGTAGTTCTAAAATAAAAAAAATTATTCACAAAAAAAAAGCCCTAACTTATTTCCCCATTCAATTTTTACCTAAAAACGGAGCCCTCCAAAAATTTCAGAGATGATGGTCGTTCGTCTTTTTCCTTGTAGTATTGTTAATGGATCAGATGTTCGCAAACAAAAACTCATCCGAGCTCGTTCGTGTTTGATTGAGCTCGTTTGTTTGTTAATTAATTTGAATTCTAACAAAAAAAATTTAAGGTTATTTAATAGTCGAACGAACGCGTGCTTATTCGCAAATGTTCGATAATGTTCACGAATTTAACTTAAGATATTTTTAGTTTTTTATATTTGTATGTATGATATTTCTAATAAAAATTTCAGACGCATATCCCAACTTAATCAAATAACTTTGAAAAGAATATTTACTAAATTATTAAAATACAAACCAGATCAGAATTAGACGAACGAGATCGAAACGAACGAGCTCGAACATGATATTTTGCTATGGAAAAAATTAGCTTTTTATGATTATATTGACAATAATCTAAAAAAATGAGGATTATTCAGGCCATGCTCAATGGACAACAAAGATGAAATAGGTTGGGTGGTTAGGACACCCTATATGTAGGGATAAAAGAAGATGTGAACAGTAATAAACCAACGAATATGAACAGTGTTTGAAAATAATCGAACATGGACTCGAAATACTCACTAACCACTATATATATACAAAGATTTATCATAAACTTAGGTGAGGAGTGTTATAGGTGACGAATGCCATTGTAAATAAAATCAATAATGCAATTTTCAATAAGGATTTAACAAACTTATAATATTTTGCTAGTTATGATAAATTTTTAATAAACACCGATGTAAGTACTTGGATATAACTTTTTTTTTTTTACAAAATTTAATTATTTTTAACTAATTACTTTTTTTAACTCTAATATAACTCAACTTTAACTCAACTCTATTATTATCAATATAATTAAATAATATCATTCAATCATTTTTACACGTTAAATCAACTTTAATTCACTATCCATCCACTCACATAATTTTAACTACCCATCATTTCATATCATCTCTCTCATACTTTTACATCAAATCAACTTTAATTATTATATTTTAAATATTATTTTATTTTAAACTCTAAATTTCACTAACAACTACTTATACCATTTTTTTTCAAAATTAACCATACTAAACTAAAAAATTCAAACAAAATCAAAAGAACTAATATCCAAGCATCCCCTTACTGCAACTGATTTGTTTATTTGGAGTCTTTTTCTTTGGCAATTATTAGAAAAATAAAAATAAAAATAAATATAAGAGGTCTCCACTAGTTTCCTAATATTACTCGGTTTGTAACCCCAGGCTCCAGCCAGCCCCAGCTCACATGCTTTTATAGTCGCCTTACTAAAGTCAAATCATTTGCCAACACTAATTAATTAATCAATTAATCTCGGTTTATAACAGCTAAGGGCGTGATTGGATATAAATTCAATTAGTAAAAAATTGATTTTTTCTTAATTATAGTTAATTTTGAAAAAATGTAGTATGATTAGTTGTTAGTGGATATATTAAACTAATATTTAAAATAAAATAATTAAAATTAATTTGATATAAAAGTAAGAGAAAGTGATTGAAAGTGATGGTTAATTAAAATTATGTGAGTAGATGAATAGTGAATTAAAGTTGATGTGATGTGTAAGAATAATTAGTTGATATTATTTAATTATATTAATAATATTGGAGAGAGTAGAATTGAGTTAAAGTTAGAGTTAAATTTAAGTTTTGATTGTTTTTTTTACTGTAGAATCCATATACAATCGTCCCCTGGCACTATTTTGCCGCATATTATTAATAATCCTTTATTTTTTATTTCCATTTACCGAAAAATCATTCAAAATATATTTCTGCTCCTCACAAGTTGCTATTTTCACCAGAGACAGAGATTTGATCAGTTTTTTCAGATGCTTATTCCTGCATTTTATTCATCAGTTTCAGTGATCTGAAAAAACCCTAATCGGTTCAGGTACATGGTGTTCATATTCGATCATGCACAAAAGATCTCACTAATGTGCTATTGTTTGAATTGATGCGACTGATCTTTGGTGAAACAGAGCAGATCTAGGGTTTAAAATTTCAACTTTTTTTTTGTTATGATTTAAATTGTATGTTGTTCATGTTATTCATGAATTTATTCGAGTGGGTTTGAATTTTTTGGTTTTGTAATCTGCAGCGGAGCTGCATTTGGTGATTTACTTGCGTTTTTCTGTAGAAGAGTGGAATGAGGTAAAGAGTTGTTGTTTAGCTCTCGCTTGAGGTTAGAGTTTTTGGGTAGAGGCATGAATTTTGTGGAAAAATCGTGTTTTGTTCTTTGTAGATATTAAGACATTGGATTGGGAGCGGTTAGAAAAAGATGAGTGAGGGCAAGCAGTATCAGCTGGGGACAATTGGGGCGCTGAGTCTTTCTGTGGTTTCATCAGTGTCGATCGTGATCTGCAACAAGGCACTAATCAGCACTCTTGGGTTCACGTTTGGTGAGACATTATATCTGTTTTCAGATCATCAAAAAATGATTGAATAAAAAACAGTAGTGTTACTAGTATTTTTCTGGTTTCACACTTTGAGGAGCGGTATTTTCATCTCTATTGTTCTTAGTTTATTGACGTTGTACTTTTGTCGTTTGTCGATCAATGCTTCAATTCATGATAGCATGTGAATCATGTTGCGGGGGAGTGGTTTGGTGTTGAAGTTTCCTTAAACGTCATTGCTCCTTCGTTTTTGTTGGAGAATCTATTAAGAGTTGGATAGTTCTGTTCATATTTTAGAATATAATAAATGCTCTATTGACGCCTTGACTAGATCATTCTATTTGCGTTTAAGAATTTTTATGGTTTGCATTCTTCACTTTCTTTTCCTAATTGATTTGATTGGCACGTTTCGTGTTAAAGAATGAAAATTTTCTTGAAAGGGCCATAAAATGTGGTAAGAAATATTTGGAGTTTAGATGTGAATAAATGTGTTTTTAATTAAGAGGGCGTGGAAAATGAGGTCCAACTTTGAGATGATGATGGTTTGTGTTTCTAAATTCGTCAAATGATTCTGCCAAAAAAAGGGCCTCTTCATGATGTGTAAATATGACAATAGTTTGGCGGCTCAAGTATTAAAATTAAGAATCAAAATATTGAACGAGTTGCACTTTCTGTTTCCACAAATCTTAATTCTCTTATTTAATTCGACAACAAAAAATATTCTTTAGACTTCATGATTCTTTGGATTATTAGAGGAAACTAGGCATTTCCGCACAATAAAATTTGTGGAGGTGGGGTTAACTAAGTAGGTGGCAGCATTTTCTATTTTATATCTGTTTTTCAAACTCCAGGAATAATTTTGTTTGTTGTTATTTACCTCGTTGAATTTCCAAAGCTTGCATTTATTGGAAGCTACCCATGTGCTTTGTCGTTTCTCGCAGCAGTTATTCTTTCTAGACTTGCTCAGTTAAGTTACTCTTTCAACCCTATTTTACTTTTTCAGCTACTACTCTGACTAGCTGGCATCTCCTAGTCACATTTTGTTCTCTTCATATTGCTCTATGGATGAAATGGTTTGAGCACAAGCCTTTTGATCCTAGAGCCGTCATGGGATTCGGGATTCTAAATGGAACATCAATTGGGCTTCTAAACCTGAGCCTGGGTTTCAACTCTGTTGGCTTCTATCAGGTTCATTGTTGCTTGCTTAATCATATTTACATTATGTAGATTTTTATATGTAATTCGCCACCTTATAAGGTTTGTTTAAGTTGTAGCTGCAAGCCATAGTTTGAATTCAATGTTACCACATGTAGCATCACATGAAAGTTGTTTTTATTGTTGAATTCCCATAATATAGATAACCTAGGGGTCCTAGTCATGAGAATGATGCATGTAATTATAGGAGTGAGAAACTGGAAATGCTATCTATGCATTTAAGTGAAATGGGAATGGTAATATAAGTCTGCCACAACCATTATGACTTTTGTAGTGCTTAAGGTTAAGAGAGATCTTAGAACAATGCATTTTGATTTCTGACTGTAGTACTATTATTGGTGTTGCTAGTTAATAATTACTTTCAGTCTAATCTGCTGTTGACATTCATGGTGTGTCAAGGTTGTATTCTTGTTATTCTGTCTCATCTATTTAATTTCTGAATATTATCATTCCTACTGTCGTTTTATAATTATTCCATGACTCTTAAATTTTCAAATGTTCATCTCTTATTGATTTGTGCATGGCAGATGACAAAATTGGCGATTATCCCATGCACTGTTCTTTTAGAGACCCTGTTCTTCCGAAAAATATTCAGGTCAGGTCTTTGCATCTGTGGAATTTCAGATCTCTTTGAAGTTTTTGGATCTTACATTTACGCAACATTCTCAATTTTACTTTCAGTGTTTTTTCTCGATTGATCATGATGAATTTTCATATTCTATAAGAGAAATGCTTGTTCTTACCTTGTTACCAGTATTCTTCAAATGCCATTAATTCATATGCTCAACACTTTATGTTAAAGATCTCTTGAATTAAACTTTATTTACAAAGAAAAAAATACTGTCACACTTCCCAACATTCGACCCAACAATACTCATTTTTTCACTGGGATCCTCATTATTTCCCTTTGCAGTTACATCCACAAAGTATGTGTACATCATGCTAGTACATACCTGGAACCTGCCACTGCTGCACTTTTACCTTAATAGAAATGCCCTTGAAATTTTCTGCCTATAATGTTGATTATTTGACGTGTCACATTTGAAATCTCTAAGGGGACCACAGATGGTGCTTTGCTTGAAATAAACTGATCAAAGGTTAAATAATTATAACATTCTCTTGGTCGTAAGAAAATTACGCACCGCTATTTTTCTAAGACACTTGAAAATATCTTCGTATATTCTCCCTAAAATTTAGCAATAAACTTTGTCAATGTCTCAGGACACATCTTCATGCATATATATATTTCTTTTCATTTTTTTCTTGTTGAAATATATTAAATATGGATGCCATGAGTATACATCGGTTAACACCATAACATGGAATTATTTTCTGTATTACCGTATCAGATATCAGTGTGAGTTCACGTATGAAGTTTCAGTTTTGGCTGTTAACACTTTCTTTACCATCGTTTTCAGTAGGAACGTTCAGGCATCCCTAGGTGTTCTTCTCATTGGTGTTGGAATTGCAACTGTGACGGATCTGCAACTAAATGTCCTGGGTTCCGTTTTGTCTCTGCTTGCAGTTGTTACGACTTGTATTGCACAAATCGTATCCTTGGATATTTTATTGTCGCACATTACAATTTATATTATTTGTCTTCCATGTTTTCTTTGGGAAAATTTCCAGATATAACGGCCCTTCATTTGACATACCGAAATTTTCATTTTTTTTTTTTTTTTTTNTTTTTTTTTTTTTTTTTTTGATTGGTCCTGTCAGTAGCTTCTGGATCTTTCTTAACTTTGGTTACAATCAGATGACAAACACAATCCAGAAAAAGTTCAAGGTTTCTTCAACACAACTTTTGTACCAATCATGCCCTTATCAGGCACTCACTCTCTTCCTAACTGGACCGTTTGTCGATGGACTTCTCACAAACTTAAACGTATTCGCGTTCAATTATACCCCTAAAGTATTGGTGAGTATCGTGAACTTTTTCCTGTAGCTGGTAGATAATATAATATAAGGCGCCTGACATTGAATTATTTACCATGCAGGCATTTATTGTCCTATCATGTTTGATATCAGTTTCGGTGAACTTCAGTACCTTTCTTGTAATTGGTAAGACATCGCCAGTCACTTATCAGGTCTTAGGGCATTTGAAAACGTGCCTTGTCTTGGCCTTCGGTTATGTTCTTCTACGAGACCCCTTTAGCTGGCGGAACATTCTAGGGATCCTTATCGCTATAGTTGGCATGGTATTATATTCGTATTATTGCAATATGGAGAGCCAGCAAAAGGCCAATGCTGAAGCAGCACAATTATCTCAGGTTTATTTTCTCCCTCTGTAGTCTTTCTTCTAATACATATCCCTTCCCCTTTTTAATATAATCAACTGTCATACTTTTTAAGCAAACTAGGAAATTTTTTAATAAAATTATTCTATTATTAGATTTAATTTAATAGTATTATATAATTTTCTTTCCATTGTTCAACAAAGAATTTTGTTTATTATAAAATATAATATATAATACTATTAACTGAACTCTATGACAAATAAAAATAAATAAAAAAAATATTGGTTAGAAAATCTAAAATAAAATTAATATTTTTTGTGAAATTTAAATGCTAAAGAAATTTATGTCGTCATTGATTTTGTTATTTAATGATATCATCATTATGCTTAAAATAATAGGCATTATTACTGTCAAAATAATTGTTATTTAACATCTTCTTTTTACGTCATACTCTTCGAAAAATAACTCGAATATACTATAACTATAATTTGTGATTATCATTTTTTTAATTATTGATTGGAAGCTAACACTATGGTTGAATATTTCGTTATCTATTATTTTGATCATAACTGTTGAAAATTCAATTATATTTGCACGTGTAATATTTCATAATATTTAGATATATATTTTATCTCTGTATATAATGACATAAGAGATATAAATATTTGAAAATATCTTTAAAGTCGTAATTATTTTATTAAAAAAAAAAAATACTTGACAATTATTAGGAACAATAACGTCCTTGATTAATTAAAGGTGACCATCTATCTATATATATATATATTGCTGTAACATTAGTTGATTGAAGGTACCTATCTATGTATATTGTCCAAAATAAATTATTGTTGTATTTCCTAAAATTGCCATGCATGCATGATCATTTTCATTCATGGATTTTCAAGACTATCTTAAATGTGAAAAATAAATAACTCTATTTTAGATAAATTATAAAATGGTGATTCTTTTATATTTTATTTTTATCTTAATATAATTTTTATATATTGTATAAAATTTATGTTTTCTACTTTTGAGAAGTGATTTGAAAATTATAATTTATCTATGATTTAAAAATAAGATTGGCTAATGAAAATAAATTTTAAGTAAATGCAATATTAATTTTTATTTAATTGATTTTAATTGTAACTATATATTTTTTAAGAAGTACACATATTTTGAAATTCAAGATTCAAAATTGAGTGTTAAATATTTTTTTTATTTTTATGATTAATCTATTTTGATGTATATTACAGCTATAGTAAATGATAGAGTACATTATGTAACACACATTATCATAAAATAACGTTCATACTATACATACTGGTACCTGGTAAACCTAAATCGTATCATGCATTTGTTTCAGTTAATAACTAAATAAAATAATCCTATTAAGACTACATTATAATTCACTTAACTAATAAATTTTTTCCACAAAAAATTGATATTTTATATGTTGAATAACTATTTTTGATTCAATCATTCTTAAACATATACATGTTCACTAAATTGTTTCTCTTTAAATTTTTTAATGCTATAACAAAATATCTATAGTAAAATAGGATATTTGGAAATTAGAGATGATAATTTCATTGGTGCATTATATATTTTTCTCTTATCAAATAAATATATTTTAATTACAAAACCTTAAAATAATATTCTCTCTTACATTTAAAAACTATATTTTTCTTAAATTTTATTTTTAATTTATATATTTGTTTAGATAATCTTAACGTCTTTATATCAACTAAGAGAAATTAAATTATTAAATAGGTAACAAAATATAATAAGAGATTAATAAGATCATCGATGACAAAAAAATAAAAAAATAAAAAAGTAGAATGGAAAACAAATAGATTGAAAAAGTGATTGTAACTATTAATATTTGTAATTCCCTCACAGTTGTGACAAAATCACATTAGTAACCTTAAAAATTATCTGTAGCGTATGGAATTTTCGATAATACAATTTTTTCAAGAAACAATTCTCCCTTATTAGATAGTTATTTCAAAATTCATTTCAATTATTCTAGGGATTTAAAATTCCATAGTGAAAATGAGTGAATTTATTTTGATTAATTTCGATTAAACTAAAAAAGAGAGTAGATTATTTATTACATAAAAATTGTATTTTTACTTATAAAAAATTATTATTATCGTATTAATTTGTTATCATGATATATACTTCAGTGGATTTTTACTAAATTTTGAAAATAAAGTGAACATTCATGACCATTCAACTGTAATTAGTATTCAAAATATATCTTAGATTAGAGTTGATAATAATGATTTGTAACTCATTTGCTCACATTTAATTAAAAGACTAATACATTCTGAATGTTGAAAATAAGGTCCTAAATTATAGTTTCATTTTTTAAAATTTGAAATTATAAACTCATCATTACATGTAATTTATCTTTATAATAGATATGAGTAAACATTTAAAGACAGAGTGATGAAAATAAACATTGATGAAGGTAATTTGTATATAATATGTATTGAAAATTAAAAGGAATATTTACTATTTGGCTTAATATCTATTATTACTTATATGTACTACTAACTTTTCTAAATTGTGGAAGCATCATACTACTTTTTTTTTTTTTACAAGAAAAATATCTACCATAAATAATGAAAATACAACCACGATAAAAAAATATTAATTATAATGTCACAATTAAATATTAATTTATAAATTTATTAATTGTAAAATACTATATATCTCATACAGCTCAAATAAAATACACAAAAAAGGTATACAAAATAACATGTAAAATAAAAATTAGATATCAATAAACAATTATTATTTTAGTAAAAATGTTATTCCTTTTTTTTTTCAAAATCCATTAACTGATTAAGTTATATGAATTTTTACCATGGGTGCAATTTTAGAGAGACGCGAAAGCTATGGGTAGTCGTCTAGTATATTTGTAATTTTTTCTTTAATTAGCTATAAAATGTAATATACATACTTTTTAGACATGATATTCAATATTTTTTCTTCATTGTCTTTTATAAATAAAGCCTAATTAAAGATTTTGGATAGATTTTAGTGGACTGTGAAATGTGGAAGCTTAATACTACCTTTTCTATTTTTCTCTAATTCACAAGACATCCCCACTATACATAATGAAAATGAAAGTATGATAAAACATAAATGAAAATAAACATTGATGAAGGTAATTTTTAAATAATATGTATTGAAAATTAAAAGGATATATTTATTATTTGGCTTAATACTTATTAATTCTTATATTTATTACTAACTTTTCTAAATTGTAGATGCATCATACTACTTCTCTAATTTTTTCTTTATCTCAAAAGAAAATTATCCACCACAAATAATGAAAATACAACCACGATTAAACAAATATTAATTATAATGTCACAATACTAAATTATCCAAAAGAAATAATGAAAATGCAGTAAATATCCAAAAGTTATGTTTCTTTTTCTTAAGGGTAATTGGAGTTTTAGATTAAATGAATAAAAAGTAAATATATAATTTATGATTTATTGTGTTGATCTATTTTTGTTGCTTATAGGACAACTAAGTTATAATAAACTAATAAGAATAAGTATTTATAATGATTCTTATTTTCTATCCAAATAAAAATACACAAAAATTCTATAAAAATAAAAAAAGAATAGATATCAATATTAACTTATTTTAATGAAATATTAATTTATAAATTTATTAATTGTAAAATACTATATATATCTAAAATACAAAAATAAAGTATACAAAATAACATAATAAAATAAAAATTGGATATCAATCAACATTATTATTTTAGTAAAATGTTATTTCTTTTTTTTTTTTCAAAATCCATTAACTGATTAAGTTATATGAATTGTTTTTACCATGAGTGCAATTTTAGAGAGATGCGAAAGTAAGTTATGGGTAGCCGTCTAGTATATTTGTAATTTTTTCTTTATAAGCTATAAAATGTAATATACATACTTTTTAGACATGATATTCAATATTTTTTCTTCATTGTCTTTTATAATAAAGCCTAATTAAAGATTTTGGATATTTCAGTGGATGCTGAAATGTGGAAACTTAATACTACAATTTCTATTTTTTCTCTAATTCGCAAGACATGCCCACTATACATAATGAAAATGAAAGTATGATAAAACATAAAGAAGTAGTAGTAATAATAATAATAATAATAATAATAATAATAATAATAATAATGATAATGCAGCAGTATGATAAAAATTAAATGAATCTTAATGTCATATTGAATAACAATTTCATATGAAAAACATTTAGATGACATATAAATTAGTGGTATACCTTAATATGCAACAATTTATGATTGAAAAGGACCAACAATTTAGAAAGTGATGCTCCAAAATGCGACTATGCATACTCTTGTCATAAATAAATTAATATTTGTCAATGATGAAGAATAATGGGATGAGATTAATATAAATTTATATAAATAAAAAATAATTGTCTATGACGAAGAGAAAATGAAAGAGTTGGAGACAACTTATTTATAATAAAGAAGATAGGTGTGTGGTTGTAATGTGATTTAAATAAAAATTATAATATTACATTTATATCCTTCAAACAAAAGTTATATTTTTTTTCCTTGAGGATATTATTGGCAATTCAAGTTTCTATTTAAATGTGGTTGGATGAGTTACAAATCATCATTATCAACTCTAATTTAAAGTTAAAAATTATATTTATGCCATTTAAAGTAACATCTTTTGAGGGTAATATGGGCAATTCAAAATTTTCAAGAAACTACTCATCCTTTTAAGATAGTTATAGATTATAGATAACTATTAGTAACACCTTTTAAAGTCGAAAGCCATGCTATTGAAAGAATTACTAATATTACTTATATTTTTGGAAAGCATGACTTCTAATCTTATAAGTACGCGAGAGCTTACTTGAATGTGATACATGGATAAGACAGTATAATATGATAACCGTCACTACTTATGAGGAAATTGATGTGCTCATTTATTCTATTCTCTAAATTTATGAAGGCCAAGGAAAATGAATCCGATCCTCTATTAAATGTTGAAAATGGAGCTGGTATTTTATCCGACTCGAGTGTTGGAAGAGATCCAGGGTGGAAATCGAACAAAGACCTGCAGGCGTAAAACTTTATCCGACTCGAGTCTCGTCAATGAAGATGTTGCTGCAAGGGATAAGGCACTTGCTTCGGGCCTTTTTGAGTTTGTGTCGTCAGATAGAATTTTTATTCGATTAATAGTAATGCTAAAGGATGTTCTTTAGAGGAACAATTTTGTATTTTTACGTTAGGCGTGCCAATATAGTCCATAATCTTTCATTGTGGTTTTATTTTGTTGTCTGAAGCAAATGCTGCTGCAGTTTTGATTTGAATGTGTGATAGTTTTAGTAAAAATTTTATTGGTATGTTCATGAAAGTTCTGTTTAGCAGTTGTGTAAAGCTGTTTATTGGTATATCTATGCAGAGTTTTGTTATAGAACCAACAGTTGTAATCAATCAATCTCTTATTTATAGGAAGTAAAAATTGAATGTATTTTTTAATTAATAGAAAACACAATTAACAACTACTTAATAGGAAAAAAAATTATTTATAGTTAACAACTACTTAATAAGAAAATACAATTAATAATTGAAAATAAAAGCACTTATATTTTTAAATTTAAATTAAAAAACCAAAAAATGCTACAACAAGTTTGTACTATTTTTCCAAATTATATAAACTACTTAATTAAGTAATTAATAGTTTAACTATTACTCCTAGTTTAGTTATTTAGTGTTTGTTTATTTAATATATTAGCCGTGTTAGTGGTTGTTAGATGTTTGTAGTTAGAAGTTTGTTTAGCAATTAGTTTAGTAATCCCCCTTCCCCCTATATATATTAATTCAAACTGTGCTGAGTCTAAGTGGCAGGCTCACATGCTTTGGAATAATACGTGTCAAATATCATGCTTTGTATTTAGGTTCGGATAAAAATTTTGAAAACAAAATTGGCTTGGAATCAACCATAAATAATTATTTCATCTTACATTATTGTCTCCCATAAATCTCTATTTCATTACCATAGATTTATTGCCTCCCATACTTAAATCTCTCATACTTAAATCTCTTTTTAATTACTTACTCTTATTTAATTCATATAATAATTTTTATGAATATGTATTCTTTTTATTTTTAAATCTTTATAATTTTTATTTGTATTTTATTTTTTTTATATTATATCTTAAAATAATCATATTTTGACGATCTTCGATTTGACATCCATATTGCAAATATTAAATAAAAAATAATTACATCTGTCATTATAAATAAAACTAAATTTATTAAAAAAAATTAAAAATATAAACACGATATAAATTGTTTTATAATAAATATAATATAAATCTAATTCAATAATACATCATAAAATATCATTTTAATGCATTTTTTCATAAATTTTAAATAAAGTAAGAAATTTAAGTACAAAAATACGGGCCCCATTTTGAATTAATTACTACTTTGTTAGTTATTCATTATTTTTATATATTCATTATACATAATTTAAAATAAAAAAAATTATTTTAATTTTTTTATTGCACAAATATTAATATGTAAGTACCCGTATAATACACGGGTATCGTACTAGTTATATTTTATTGGCGTAAGTTAGTACATGGGTTAGGAAATTTGTTAGGAAATATTGGCTTTAGCCGTGATGTTGGTAGTTTTGAATTATTAGGCAGGTTAGGAAATTTTAGAATGTTAGGAGTTCTAATTATTCGGTAATTCTTAGATATTAGTTGCTTTGGAATTAGTATTTGAATTCTATTAGGATTAGTATAGTCTTAGTCTTTATTTTCTTTAAATACCTATGTACTCATTTGAATTTAATCATGGATTAAAGAAAAAAGAAAATCGATCGACTTGATCACCAATCTCGTGTGTTAATTCGTGTGAGCTTACATACCAAACCGTGTTAGAAATAGCAACCATCGTGAAGTATGAAAGCGTCGGCACAAGTTTTGAGGCAATCGAGTTAGGAAAATACACAACCTTCATCACATGTGCGCGACATTAGATTCAAACACGCACGTGGCGTGACTTGACGGGCAAGACGAGCAACGTTTCTAGTAGACCATTTATTAGATTAATTATATTAGTCATATATTAGTTATTTAACTAATACTAGTCTAGATAGTTAGTAGTTAGTTTTGTTAGCATATTATTTAATTAGTAATTAGTTAGTGACGTGAGTGAGTTTTTAGTTAGCATTGGCGTAATTTAGTAGTTAGGAGTTTGTTTACCAATTAGTTTAGTAAATATATAATTAGCCGTAAGTGATTGATAGGATTGTTAGTATAGTTGTTAGGCAATTATTTAGTTTAGGAAGTTTAGATTAGCTTGTTTTATAATTCGTATTTGATTCCTATTAGAACTAGTATAGGCCTAGTCTTATTTTCCTATTCCTATATGTATTCATCTTTTTTATTCAAGCCATGAATAATTAAAAAATAGTTCGCAAGAACAAATCTCTTGTGTTAGAATTGTTTGAGTCTTATTTCCTCCTTAGTTTTTTAAGGAGGAAACGCCCTCATCGACAGAAGGTTGATAAAACTCAAATAATTCTAAGAACTATTTTTTTATTATTCATTGCTTGAATAAAAAAGATGAATACATATACCTACTTATAGAAAAATAAGACTAAGCCTATACTAGTTCTAATAGGAATCAAATACTAACTATAAGGCAATTAAATATCTAGTATCTTAATACTTATTAAATAATTAAAGTTCCTAACACCTAAATAAATAACTCACGGCTAACCTAAACTTCCTAAACTAAATAATTACCTAACAACTATACTAACAATCCTAACAATCACCGACGGCTAATTATATATAATTGCTAAACTTATTGCTAAACAAACTCCTAACTACTAACTTACGCCAATGCTAACTAAAAACTCACTCACGTCATTAATCTAATAAATGGTCTTCTAGAAACTTGGTCCGTCTTTGCCCGTCAAGTCACGCCGTGTGCGTGCTTGAATCTCACGTCGCGTGCGCACCGTGCGTGATCTTCCCTCCGTGTGTCCACGGTTCGCTTAGCTTTCCTCGTGCTTGCGCGTCGCATTCTTTCGCGTTTTCGTGCGGCCCTGCACAATTGCATCCCCTCTCGACCCTTGGCGTCGGAACCTCATTCTCATCAGCGTGCTGAAACGAGCACGCGCGCGGAGTCCGGTGTTCTCGCGCACAGACAACGAATGTGCAAAAGGCGCACATGGGCGTGGAAAGTGGGCGCGGCGCAAGGGCGCGGGCGTGAAGCACAAACGACAGGCGTGTCTTGCCGAGTAAGATGGTCGAACCTTTTAGAAGATTTGGAGACAAGATTCTGAAAGATATTTATTAATTAGATTAAATATATATTTATTTAGTTATTAGCCGTGAGTTAGTTTAACATGTTAGGGAATTTATTAGTTTGGTAATTATAAGATTGTTAGGTATTTTATTAGTCTAACAATCTAATAATTACTAAATTAATAAATCTCCTAACAAGCTATGTTAACTCACGACTAATAACTAAATAAATTTGTAATTAATTTAATTAATAAATGTCTTCTAGAATATTGTCTCCAAATCTTCTAGAAGGTTCGACCATCTTACTCGGCAAGGCACGCCTGACGTTTGTGCTTCACACCCCACCTCGTCCTTAGGCCATCATTTTGGCTCGCCAGCCACGTTCATTTTCCACGCTTGTGTAGGCCTTATGCACGTTCGCTGTTCATGCGCGAGAACCCCAAACCCCTGCGCATGTGCTCGTCCCAGCGCACCCAGTCACCACGCCCGCGCGCGACATCTCCACGCATGTGCCTTTACTCTCGCACGAGTTCCCCTCGCGCGTGCCCGCCTCCTTACGCGAGACTCTCGCCTTCTGCCCCGAGTCACACCCAGTCCTCGCCGTCACCGTGCGAGGTTCTCGGGTCGCATTCGCGCGCGCTTGCGCCATTGCGCATGTCGACGCCCTCACTGCCGTGTTGCGCGAGTTCTCACGCATGCGCTGTCGTGCTCGCATCAGCTCACATCACTCGTCTTGCGCTCGCGCGCCTCGCACTCATTTCCCCCATCCATGTGCGTGCTATTTTTGGCCTTCGTGCAGGATTGTTAGTTTATTTTTCATTAAATAAATAATATCAATAATTTAAATTAAAATAGCATAGAAAACAAGTTTTAATTATTCATATATTGGAAATATTTTTTATATTTTTATCTATATTTTGTAGTGTATTCTTTTTATATGTGTATATATAATGATTTA